ATGTGGGCAGCCTCCTCACCATCCCTCCCCCACAGCAGATCCTCATTGCCACCTTTGAGGAGACAAGGACAGCAGTGAGTGCTGTGGAGTTCTGAGGGGACAGGGCTGCCCAGGCCGTCGCAGGCCCCCCTGCATGACCGCAGTGCGCCACTGCCCCCAGCGCCCCCGTGGACGCGGCCTCTGCTTCGCCCGGCACCGCCCACACCCTGGCCTCCTGTCCGCATGCCACGGGGCTCAGCACCTCGCCTACCCGGCCCCTCAGATGGCACCGTCGGGGCGCTGGCTGGGCCAGGGGCTGGCCGTGACCCCCGTAGAGCCCGTGGCCAGAAAGGCCCAGAGCCACCACCACCACCCCCCCCCCCGCCCCCTGCATCAGGCGCTCGGCTGTGAAATGAAGAATTTATTTTTTTAGTTGATTTTGGCCCCATGAGGGGCTGGGCAGTGGCAGGACAACTCAGGAGGGAGCTGGGGGTGGTGGCACCTCAGGGCTGCCCCCTGCAGGGACCGGGAGCCCTCGGTGGGAGGGGCCACCCTCCAGTCAAAAGTCAACGTGCACTTTCTCCTCGTATCCCGACAAACCTGTACTTTATTTTACTATGATTACTGTAACTAGCGAGTATATTTATTTCCAGGAGGCTTCAGACGCACTCAAAACAAAGGATGTTGTGTGTGTGAGTGTGGGAGCGTGCGGAAGAGAGAGCGAGGGCGCCAGCGTGCCAGTGGGTGTGTGCATTAGCGGTAAGCGTGCGAGTGTGTGCGTGAGTGCGCACGGGTGAGGCTGGGCGAGGGCGCCAGCATGCCAGCGAGGGCAGGAATCCAACGCAATAACCACGTCCCCTCCAAGGCCATCAGCACCCCCCCGCCCGAGGGTCCAGGACGCTTCCGTGGGAGCCCAGGGCCGGCGCTGGGCGGGGCCATCCCTATTACCTCAGCCACGGCGACAACGTGACAGTATTAACAAGGTAGCACCGAGCATATCAATAAAGATTATTCTGATACCCCTGAGTCCTGAGTGGTCCATCCTGCCGGAGGCCTGTGGTCCAGCTGAGGCCTCCTGTGTCCAGGGCCTCCACCCAACCTGCACGGGGTGGAGGTGCTGCGGGCGGGCGGGGGGGGGCGGCAGGGCCGTGGGAGGCGCCCCGATGCCCTCCAGGTCGCCTGGGGGCCCTGCTGCATCCACAGCTGAACGAGAACACACAGTCCTCGTGCGGTTGACACACCGTGGTCTCCAGCTAACGTGCGTGCATGCTGGGCCACAGGGTGATTCACACAGACTCAGTGGAGATGGAGTGCGCCCTCCCAGGAAGCCGGCCCCCCCATCAGATGCTCGAGGGCAGGGGCTGCCAGGTACACTTGGGGGGAATAGCAAGCACTGGCAGGACTCAGGAGGGCTTCCTGGAAGGGGTGCCCCTGATGTGCTCTGGAGGTGTTCATGTCATGGGGATCGCAGGCGCGGGGGTGCTTTCCTCACCAGGCCCAGGATGCAGGTGGGGATGAGGCTGGCCCCGGGCGTGCACCAAGGAGTCACACACCCCATAGGCCACAGCAGGAGACCCCGAGGGTCTGAAGAGGGGCTCCTTGGAGGCAGGTAGCTGGGGCAGCTGGGCCAGAAACCCCTGGGGGCTAGACCAGGTGGGCTGCGGGCCTCAATCACAAGGGGGCTCAGGCGAGATCGGGGTGGGACCACCTGCTGCACCGTGCGGAGGCCTGACTGGTCTGGCCTCCTCGAAGCCCCTCCGCAGGCCCCTCCGTGGAGCAGCCCTGAGCTGGGCAGGCTGGGCTTCCCGGGAGTGCAGCCGATCCATCATCCAGGGCTGCACCCCAACTTGGGTGTTTTTGTTTTTTATAAATTTATTTCTTTTTGGCTGCGTGTGGGCTTTCTCTGGTTGCGGTGCGCGGGCTTCTCGTTGCAGTGGCTTCTCTTGTTGCGGAGCACGGGCTCTAGGCGCGCGGGCTCAGTAGTTGTGGTTTGCGGGCTCTACAGAGCACAGGCTCAGTAGTTGTGGCGCACAGGCTTAGTTGCTCCGCGGCATGTGGGATCTTCCCGGACCAGGGCTCGAACCCGTGTCCCCTGCACTGGCAGGCGGATTCTGAACCACTGCGCCACCAGGGAAGTCCCCCAACTTGGGTTTTAGATGTAGGTTTTTATCATCACTCAGGCATGGTGAAGCCAAGAGATCAGGAGACGACTGCCACTGCAAAGACAGTTTATCACAGGTCCCAAGAGGAGGGGGCCCCAGGGCCGGTCAGGAGGCAGGGAGAGGGGACACGTGGGCAGGAGCCTTCATTGGGTTTCCGCAGGGAGAGATGTGAGGCAGGGTGAGCAGGCTCAGGACCGGCCAGCGTGAATAATCTCGGTGGGCTCAGGGCGGAGGGGCTGCCCCTAGTTGTCGGTGCCTGGCCCAGGTGATTGGGGCAGGCAGAGGGTGGCCCCGAGGACATAGTGCACCTCGTGGAGGAGGGACGATCTGGGGCTGTGGATGGCTGGTTTGCTTGTGAAACTGTTTGCTGTCTCTAGGAATTGGCTGACTCTGGGAGTGGCAGTCTCTCCAGGGTCAGCGCGGCCCCAGATGGCAAAACGGTACAATTCATACCCCCTGTCCCCAGAAAGCACTCATCCTCACCCGGGTCAGGACCCTCTCCCCAGCCCAGCATCCCAGGTCATATGGCCAGCTGCCTCTTGGGCTGGCACTCACCATTTCCACTCATCTGGGGAAGGGACCCCACAGGACCCAGGCAGGCGGACCAGGTCCTGCAGGGTGGGATGAGCCCCTGGCCCCTCGGTCCCACATGGGCAGCCAGCTCCGTGGTGGTGGTGAGCCAGGCACTGGGGCCAAGGTGACCCTGCAGGGGTAGGGGCTGCTGTGCCCACCCAGGAGTCCAATTCCCACTCACCTCAGGCAGCAGTGTTTGCCACGGGCCCCCTGGCAATCCCTGAGCAGGGCTGGAGCCCAGACCGGCTCCCCACCCCTGCCCATGCACACTCAGGGGCTCTGCTCAGAGTGGAGACATTCCCAGAGACCTGCGGGGCGCGCTGCCTGGCCGTGCGCTGAGTCCACAGAAGTTCCTCATGCACACGTGTCCAGGTGGGGCTAAGGCACACCAGCCACTGAGCCCCACCCCGCCCCCGGTCTCTGTCTTCGGCGGGACTGCTGTGCCCAGCCCTGCCCCCTGAGCCAAGGCCCAGCAGGACATTTCAGACCAGTCTCCTCCAGAGGCCTGCTCCTTGATGTGTGAACTGACCCACTGCCCCAGGGAACAGAAGGGAGTCAGCGTCCCACAGAAGCAGACCTCTTCCTGCAGATGCCAGGGATGCCACCTTGCCCGGAGGGGGCAGAGGGTGCACCGTGGGCATCAGCATTCCTTTGACACACCCTCCACCTGCCTCCTTGCTCCTTCCCTCCAGCCCCGGACAGGACAGGTGGAGGTGCCTTCCCTCTCCCAAGAGGAGGGGCTGTGGGAGAAGCTCAGACCCCACCCCAGACAGCCAGGCCTGGAACCCAGGCCTCTCTCCATCACACAGCCCAGCATGGACATCTCAGCCAGACTGGCTCTAGGTCCTGGGGCAGGTGCCTCGAGGGGACAACATTGCGCTCACTCCAGCTCTCCTGTGTGGGTGGCCAAGGTGGGGGGCGGGCAGAAGCGATCTGTGCCAGCACAAAGGAGATGAACAATAGGAACCAGACAGAGAGGGCGGGACAGGGGTCCTGGACCACGAGCCGGGCAGATAAACGTCAACCCAGAGCCTCTCGCCTCATAGAGCCCCGCCTGCCGACAGGAGCCTGCCCCGCATGAGACTGGACGGGGCATCACCTCCCACGTCAGCCAGCCTGCAGGAGGGCCACCCCCAGGCTCAGAATGTGGGAACCCAGACCCTGTGCGGGACAGCAGGGCTGGGCCAGCACCCACTTCCTGGAACCTGAGGGGAAGCCCGGCGCCCAGCTCGGACCGCTGGTGGGCCGGCCCGGCAGGCTCAGACCAGGCCCGGGCCAGACGGGGCTATCCCTCACCCCGGGGCCCCGCCCCCACCCTGTGCCCCCCTCCCCTCCAGCCGTCCCACCGCCCCCGCCCGCGCCTCCCCGGACCCCAGCCGCCAGGCCGAGGGGTGGCCCAGGTGCTCACATGGGTGCAATCCACGACCCGAACTCTCTGCTCCTCGCGTTGCACTATCGCTGACCCCTTCGGGCGGGATTGACGGTTCTGTATCATAGCAGGCCATATGAACGTCAACCCCCTTTTACTGACCGGGAGATGCGGCCAGAGAACTTTGGGGCGCTTCGCAACGCCGCCCCAGTCGGGTGGCAGGCCTGGGACTCGAACCCGGGTTCTTAGACGCCGCTAGAGTCCTCGAATCCCGACGCTGGAGGCGGGGAGGGGAGGGGCGGGGCTTTCTCGCGCGCGGCCTCCTGGGAAGTGAAGTCCGCGGCTGCTCGCGCGCGGCCCCCTGGGAACTGTAGTCCACGGGCTCGGGACAGGCTCGCTGCAAGGGCGGGCCGAAGGCGCGCGGAACTACGCTTCCCGGCATGCCGCGCTCCGCCCGGCCCTCCGGCCCCGGCCCGTCCGGCCGGCCCGCCCCGCGGCCGCGGTCCGCCCCGTCTGGTGGAGCGACGAGCCGCATGGAGGCCGGCTGAGGAGCGCCGCCCCGCCTTGGTACGCCGCGCGGCACGGGACTGGGGCGGGGGGCGGCGCGCGGGGGCCCCGGCGGGTCGAGGTCAGCCCGCGGTCCAGGTCGGATGCTGCCCCGCATCGGGCCGGGCCCAGCCAGCTCCCAAGCGTGAGGTCTCGGGCCGGAAGGATTAGCCCCGACCTCCGAGGAGTGCGCGCGGGGCCGGAGTCGACCGCGAGGGTCGCGAGGGTTCGAGGGCTCGGATGGTGCAGGCCGGAGGCGGGGCCGGGGGGCGGGGCCCGGAGTCGGGGGTCGGGGCCGGGGGCGGGGTCGGCCGGAGTCGGGGGCGGGGGACCGGGCGTGAGGGGCAGGGTCCCCTCCTCCCCAGACGGCGGCGGCAGGGTCTCAGTGGAGACCCTGGGTCCTTCTGCGTGCCGGAGGCCTCTGCCCTTCAAGCCGAGCAAGCAGGGCTGCCATATGGGCAAAGGAGACCAAACTTCCGAGGCCTTGTAGGTCCTTACTTACCTTGTTTCTGTGAAGAGCTATATTGATACATAACTTACATGCCACAAAGCACCAGAGTTCACGTATGCGTCTTTGTGAAAACTGTCCCGAGAAAGGAAAGCAAAGCGCACCCTTCAGCGAGGAACTCGCTCAGAAGTCCTCGGCTGACTTTGGGCGTCAGGGCAGCCTCCTCAGGAGATTGATGGTTTCCAGGCTGAATACTCCTGGCTTTCGGGGTCCCCTGGAGAAGAAGATGTCCGGGCCACCAGCTCGGCGCGCTCCTGTGCAGGCTCCACTCTCCCTGGGCCTCTCCCTTTTGCCGCTGTTGCCCCCCTTGTGTGGCTGGGAGGGAGCCCTGACCTTGGGGCCACTGGTCAGCCTTACAGGATGGCGGTGATGTTGCAGCCAGGAGAGGGCCTGGCACGGTGGGCGGGCAGGCCCCTACACAGCACCCTGCAGTGGAGGTCAGGGTGGGGACCCAGCACTGGGTAGAGTCCGGGTTCCAAGAGGGTTGGCCGGGTGTGGTAGGCCTCCGGCTCAGGTGTGAGTTGGCATGTGCCCTCTACCCCCATCCTACCCTCAGCCACACCTCCATAAAGCAGAGCCTGCCAGACCCAGGAGGGTCTCCGGTGGCCAAGGTGCCCAGACTTCAGAAGTGGGGATGGATGTAGGGGGTCAGGGCTTTGGGCCACACCCTGCTGCCTCCCAGGTCTCCAGCCCGCTAGTCTGTCCAGTTTGGAACCCTTGGCTTTGTGAGCAGGCCTAGTGGGTTGGTTGGGAGGTGTTTTTTCTGGGAACCTCATCTGGTGCTGGTCAGTTCTTGGTCTGGGAGGCAGTTTCTGGCTTCCTAATTTTTAGAGGGGTGAACGAGAGAGCATGGCTGTCTCAGTCTGCTCTGCAATCATGACAACATACCACTGAAGGGGGCTTAACGGTTTTCTCACAGTTCTGGAGACGGAAAAGTCAAGATCAAGGTGCTGGCTGATTTGGTAGCTGGTGAGGGGTCTTTCTTCCTGGCCTCCAGACAGCTGCCTTCTCACTGTATCCTCACCGGGCAGCTCTCCCGGGTCTCTTCCCAGGAAGGCTCTGATCCCATCCTGGGGCACAGCCTCATGACCTCACCCAACCCTCACCGTCTCTCAAAGTCCCCGCCTCCCAATTTCACCCCCACTGGGGTTAGGGCTTCAAACTATGAGGGGACACAATTCAGTCCATAGCCGTCCCTGGAAGGGGACAGCTGCCTGGGCTGGGCAGGCGGGAGCCCGTGGCCTGCCACGCAGCCTGCACTGTCCGGTGTCCTCAGGTCTGTCCTGCCAGGGGCACCCAGCAGACCGTTTCCTACGCTAACACACCATCCAACAAGAGCACCTTGACACGTTCCCTGGGGGTCCCTAATGCAAGTGAGGCTCTCCCTGCCCTGTGAGCAGGTGCATTCTCTGGTGAACCCGACAAGAGAGGTCCTCACGGGGGTCAGGGATTCCCTCGGATTTGGAGTTCGTTTTCCTGGAAGCGCGTGGGTGGCGCTGTCATCTGCGTGGAGCCAGATAAGGGTGGTGTCCCTCTCTGTGGACGAGTCTCCTGAAACCAGGTGGCTGGTTCTCTTCATGCCCCAGCAGAGGGAAGCTGAGGTGACATCTCAGTGTGGCACGCCTCGTGCTGCTCGTGGGTGGCTGGGTGGCTGTTCTAACCACCTCGGCCCTAAAGGCAGGAGCTAAGAGCCTGGCGGGTTGGAACGACTTGCCCAAGGCCGTGCCGCGCCAAGCAGCAGCCTGAGGTCTGGCCGACCCTGTGGCCGTCCCCCGCGGGACAGGTGCTGGCAGCCGCCTAGAGGGCTGGCCTCTGGTGGCCAGGCTCAGGAGGCCTTTCCCGCCACTGAGCCTGATGCCTCCCCAGGCCGTGCTCCGTGGACAGTCCGGCTCAGCAGTGACGCCTGTTGGTGGGGTGAGCACCTGAATTGGGCAGAAGGGTCTCGTTTGTGCCGGGCTCCCCAGGGTCTTGGCGTTGGTGGCCACGGCGTGGCCAGGTTGCCGGGCGGAAGCCTGGTTCCGGGCTCCCTGGGGCTGTGCTGGCTGGTGGGAGCTGGGCGCTGGAGACTGGGTTTAGGAGGGGGCACGTCGATCTCCCCACGAGGTGTTAGCCTGGGGTCTGCTGGTCACTGCAGCCTGCAGTGGTGTGATGAGCAGCCAGGACCCGTCGTCCAGAGATTCTGTGGCCAGAAACACAGCCTGCGGGTGTGGGAGATGGAGGCCGGGTCCAGGGTTCTATGGCGTTGGGCCCTTTGCTCCCCTCCCGTAAATATTTAAAGAGGCTCGGATCCCAGCCGTAAATATTTGAAAATGCATCATGGTGAGCGGGGCTCCCTAGGGGTGGAGGGATTGATGACCCACTGAACTTATTGATACATCCTACAAGGGTATCAGCAGGGGCCCTGGCTGAGGTTGCAGGAAACCAGGATATTGGGAAGTGTGTGCACGTGATAACATCAGAGACGCTTCTCAGAATCACAGGCTCTTGGCCCTGAAGGGGCCTCGGTGGCCTTCCTGCCTGACCCCTCCCAGGCCAGGCACCCACCCCAGTGAGCTCGAGGGGACCTGGGTCCTGGTGCTGCGGTTGGTGGCCCAGCCATCTCGGGGCTCGAGGCTCGTCTGCCCCCTGGGGACAGAGTGAGTCTGGCCTGGCCTGGCCAGGCCAAGTGCAGGGAGGGCAAGGGCAGGGCCGACCCAGACCTGTGACCCCCACCCCTGTGGGAGGGAGGCTGAGGCCTCGGTGGCCCTCCTCTTACCGCCTGTCACACAGGCTTCCCAGGACAGCACTGGACGCTTCCTTGAGAAGTTTCTCTAGTACTTTGGCAGCCTGTGTGAAGCGGACCGGGGGGACGCTCTCCTGGGCCCGCTCGGGAACCTGAGAGGCAGGCGGGCCCCAGCCCGGCAGCAGACACAGCTTCCTGTTTCTATTTCGGTCGGTGCCTTGCATCAGTGGAGCGCTTTCGTCTGTGAAGTGGGAAGGAGGAGGCCCTGGGAGTGGTGAGGCCGGGTGAGCCGCCGCCCGTGGGGACCGGGCGCCCCCGTGCTGTGGCTCCTTCCCCGATGGCGGGGCGCCCGGGGGCCCAGGCCGGGCTCAGACCCCAGAGCCGGCTCCCCTGCCCCGTGCGGAGGCCCATGGCTCTGCCTGCCGCCCTTCTCCGCTGGCGGGCCTGCCCCCTTCTGGTCCTGAGCTAGTTTCTCTTCCAGACCCTTCCCCCAACCTCATTTCTTCCAGAAAGCATAGCCGTCCTCGTCCTCGGGATGGGCTGCCCCTGCGCTGAGCCACCTGCCCGAGCCAGTCCTGCCGGCCGCAGGCGAGGAAGCGGAGCTCCAAGCGGGCTGGAAACAGAGCCCGGGTTAGGGCTGGGCTCAGGGTCAGGGGTACGAAGGGGAAGGAACTTGACCTAGCATCGTGTTGATTTATTATTTGTTTTTCCTCTTTGTTGTGAAAGTGCAACAGTGAAACTGACAGGCGCCCCGGGGGTGTCCCACTGCCCGCATGGGGCCTCCCTGCATGTCCCGTCGGTTCACGTGTGACAGACACGGACTCTAAAAACCCATGATACGGCGCCCACGACTGAAATCAAATTAGACTCGTTCCTCACGGGACGGCCTCCAGTCATCTGTCAGGTTCTCCCGCGGGTGCCAAGCCCCCTGTCCTTTGGCGGCCAGACCCCGGCTCTAAACTCAGAGCTGGAACCGGAGGCTCTGTCAGACTCTGGTTTGAGTTTCCGGCAGCACCTTGGGAGGTTCGGGTGAAGTCCGTGTGGCGGATGTCCAGGACACCGTGTCCCGGGCCCAGCGGGGATCTTCCCTCTGGTGAGAACAGCCTTGCTGGGCTCCTGCACCCCGTCTCCCCTCCAGAAGGGACAGCACAAGCGGCTCCCACGTGACCTCGGGGGCTCGGCTCCTAGCTCAGCTTCTTCGAGTTTGTGCCTCTTTTCTTCAACCAGAAGTCGCGGTTCTCAGTGACGCCGACACACCTGTGCTGTTCGCCATCCCTCCCCCTGCCCCTCCTGAGTCTGTGCCGACGCCTGTGTGATGCTGCTGGTGACACGTATTGTCGCCACACGTGGCTCCTGAAAGCGGGGCTGCAGCCGCACTGCCTTCCGCGCCAGCCCAGCACACAGGTTCCCTTCTGCCGCCTGGTTTTGTCTTTTTAGGGAATTTTATAATTTGTGTTGTATTCCAAAGTCAAAGAGGAGGCCCCTAGGTCTGGCCGGCTGCCCCCGGGGGTGACCCCCTGCTGGGCGAGCGGGGGGCCAGGCGGCACGTCCTGCTCTCGGGCGACTCACGCTCGCCGCCCGGGTGTCCCCAGCCTGCTCTCAGCCCCGCACCGCAGATCCCGAGATCACCTGTGCCCGGGGCCGAGGTCCTGCCCACGGATCATTCCCGATGGACGCAGCACCACGGGGCACTGACCCCCGTGCCCGGCCCCGGGGCTCCAGGTGAGGACGCGGCTCCTGTGTTTCCTCAGGCTTCACTCGTCGGTGCCGGGAGCCACCGCCCGCCATGGAGGGGCAGGACGAACAACCCCTTCGCGAGGTCAGAGCCCTGGGCCGGGGGGCCAGGAAGCGAGGGGGGGGGCGGGGGGTGGGGTGGCCCCGCGGAGCGTGGGGCTCCCCCCTGTGAGGCTCCCTGGGGTCCCTCTGGCCTCTGTGCAGAGAAGCCCTTCACTGGTCTTCCTGGGATGTTGCTAGTCAGCCGAGGGGCCCGGGGCAGGGCGCCCTGAGGGTGGGCCGCCTGTGAGGAGATTGTCTGGGGGGAACACAGCTGACAGGCTCTGGGGCTTGATGGAGCAACCGCACGAGTCCCGGCAAGCCCCGGAGAGGCGAGCACCGCCGCTCGAACACTCCCCTTCCCTCCGCAGGCCAGCACAGAGCCCATCGTGACTTCAGGGGGTTCGGAGGTGGTGCCCAGGGTGCTCCCCGGAGAGCCCCAGAACCTGTGTGCGTGCTCCCTGGGTCACCGTGCCGGGCGGGAGGGGCTTGGGCTGGGTGATCTCCAGAGCCTGTGGTGGACCAGGGGCCCCAGCCCACCCTGGGGGGGGGGGGGGGGGGGGGCTCTTGAGCGCGAGCAGGGCTGTGGCAGGACCCCCCTCCTCAGGTGGGGAGGCCGGGTGCCCTGCACAGCCCCCCCCCATCCTGGGCCCCTCGGCGGCCTGGGGGCTCCCCTTGGCGTGGGGCCTGGCCGCATGTCCTGGTGAGCAAGTACCAGTGGCTCGAGGCCCGGAGAGGCCCCCACGTGCGTCCGCGTTCCACGGGGCAGCACGCACCCCCGTCCCTGCGCCCCGGAGGCCCAGGCTGCCCATGTGGGAGGATGGCCCCAAGCCGGGCCTTGCTGTCCCTGCAGCCGACGTGGACGCTTTCCACCTGCTCCTGGAGATGAAGCTGAAGAGGCGGCAAGAGCGGCCCAACCTGCCGCGCACGGTGACCGAGCTGGTGGCCGAGGACGGGAGCCGCGTGTATGTGGTGGGCACGGCCCACTTCAGCGACGACAGCAAGAAGGACGTGGCGAAGGTGAGGCCCGTGAGCCGCCACTGCTGCTGCGGCAGGACACGCAGACCCGGGCCGTCCCTCCCGCCGTAGTTACTTCCGGCACCGAGCCGTCTCCACGGCGGCTGAGCGGCGGTGGGGTCGACCTGGGGGTGGGCCTCCGGGTCCGGCGTGGCTCTGCCCGTGGGGCCCGCGGTGAGCTGGCATGTCCGTCGCAGACCATACGGGAGGTGCAGCCCGACGTGGTGGTGGTCGAGCTGTGCCAGTACCGCGTGTCCATGCTGAAGATGGACGAGCACACACTGCTGCGTGAGGCCAAGGAGATCAGCCTGGAGAAGCTGCAGCAGGCCGTCAGGCAGGTGCGCGTGCCCGCCCCGTGGGGACTCTGGTCCGGGACCCTTCACCCTGGCCCGAGGGACAGTGAGGAGAGGCGGCTGAGGCCCCAGCCCCAAGGCAGGAGCTGGTCAGGGACCCTGGCAGGTCACGGGGGGCGGGGGTGGGGCCTCAGCATGTCATGTGGCCCAGAGCTGCGACCCCAGTGTGCCTCGCTCAGGGGCTCTGGACCCAGGACCCAAGTCCACTCACACTGACAGGTGCCCCAAGGGGGATGTGGGCAGAGGAGCTGGGGGTCTGGCCTGGAGGGGTGAGGGGGGAAAGGGGGCACCCGTGGGGCAGAGGCCAGGCAGCCGGTCTGAGACCGCACGGCCTGCGGTGGGCCTGCTCTGGGAAGGTCATCTGAAGGGCCGGGAGGGGCCTCTGAGCGCGCACCGTGGGTGAGGCGCCACCATGAGGCCCTGCTGGACGTCAGGCGCAGGGCGGCCGCGCGCCGGCTGACCGGGCCCCTCCCTGCAGAACGGGGTCATGTCGGGACTCATGCAGATGCTGCTGCTGAAGGTGTCCGCCCACATCACCGAGCAGCTGGGCATGGCCCCTGGCGGCGAGTTCCGGGAGGCTTTCAAGGAGGTGGGCCCGGGCCCGGCCGGGGGCGGAGGGGGCTCGGCGCTTGGGAGCTGTCCGGGGCCTGAGGCTCCCCCGCCAACACCCAGCCTCTGCCCAGGCCAGCAAGGTGCCTTTCTGCAAGTTCCACCTGGGCGACCGGCCTATCCCCGTCACCTTCAAGAGGGCCATCGCCGCCCTCTCTTTCTGGCAGAAGATCAAGCTGGCCTGGGGCCTGTGTTTCCTGTCGGACCCTATCAGGTAGGGCCCCTCGGCCTCCCGGCCCGGGAATGGTGACCAGTGGCCTGAGATACCCACAGAGCACTCGGTCCACACCTGGCCTGGCCCAGACCGCCACGCGGCACGCTCCTCTCATTCTCGGGCGGAGCCTCCTCTCAAAGGGCCTCCCCAGCCCTTCCTCCTGCCAGGATCCCAGACAGAAGGTGTGAGGCCCCCGCCCTGGGTCAGCCGTCCCGGGCTGGCGGCACGCCCTTCTCCCGCAGCAAGGACGACGTGGAGCGCTGCAAGCAGAAGGACCTGCTGGAGCAGACGATGGCCGAGATGATCGGCGAGTTCCCCGACCTGCACCGCACCATCGTGTCTGAGCGGGACATCTATCTGACCTACATGCTGAGGCAGGCGGCCCGGCGCCTGGAGCTGCCCCGTGCCTCTGACGGTGAGGACGGGCTGCGGGGTAGTCACTGGGGACCCGCCGGGGCCAGTCGGTTGGGCGGTGCTGATGCGTCTCTCCTCCCCGCAGCCGAGCCCAGGAAGTGCGTCCCCTCCGTGGTGGTGGGCGTCGTGGGCATGGGCCACGTCCCCGGCATCGAGAAGAACTGGACCACCGACCTCAACATCCAGGAGATAATGACGTGAGTGCCGCCCGCCCAGCCCTCCGTCCCGCCCCACCCCACCCCACCCCACCCCACCCACGTGGAGCTGGGCTGGGGGCTGGGGGATCGTGCGTCCCCAGCCAGGCCCAGCCCGCCCTCCCTTCCCCAGCGTCCCCCCGCCGTCCGTCTGCGGCAGAGTGTCCTGGCTGGCCGCAAAGGCCGCCTTCCTGGGCCTCCTGGGCTACGGCCTGTACTGGATGGGGCGCCGTGTCAGCAGCCTGGTCTTGTCACTGCCTGCCGCCCAGTACTGCCTGCAGAGGGCCTCCGAGGCCTGGCCGCACAAGTAGGAAGGACAGAGGGAGCCACCACGTCCGTCCAGGGGGCCGCCCGCGGCTGCTCCTGTGACACGGCCGAGGGGCACGGGGGGCCGGCCCCCTGAGGAGCTCCTGGGTGCCACCCCCCATGGGGGTCCGGCCTAGCCTCACCTGCCCTCTCCCAACCCGCCCAAATAAAGAATTATTTCACTGTCTGAGCTCGGGCTTCCCAGCAGCCCCCCTCCACCCCCTCCCTGCGGCCGCTGGGAAGTTCACCGGCCCGGGATGAGCTGGCGGGGGAGGGGTGAGGTGCGGTGGGCCGCAGCCGGCCAGCCCCTACCTCACTGTGCCTTCTCTCCGCGTCGCAGGGGGCGCCTCGCGGGGGTGCCGGGCCAGCACGCCGGGGAAGGGCAGCTTGGCCCGTGCAGCCCTTCGCGTGGCTCCTTGGCGCCCCCTGAGGGGGCGGCGGCCCCGGGTGAGCGCCAGCAACGGCTGTGCCTACAGAGGTTGTGCGTTTCTGGCTTTTAAAAGTGTCTGAAACTTTTCTACTCAGGTATTTTTAACTTAAAACAAACCGAAGCAAATGTCAGGAAATACTAGCCTTAAATCTGGTTGGGACAAAGAGAACACCTTTCTCTTGGAGTCTCGGTCCCAGGAAGACAGGGGTGTGGCGAGGGTCAGTTTCGGCCATGGGCAGCCAGGCTGCCCGTCCAGCTGCCCCCGTGGTCTACCTCCAGCTGTGGGGGCTGCAGGGCCGCCGCCCTCTCGGGGTGGAGCCTGCCTGGCCTGCAGGTGGTTGAACCTGCTTCCTGTTCAGCTAGTGGTGGGACCTGGGGGTCACCCCGACCCTCAGTGGATGGCTGGCAGCTATCCACCAGGGCCCGCCAGTTTGCACAGGAACCGCCTTGGGTGCAGCTGGGCCCAAGGTCGAGCTGGCCCCATACAGCACTTGACCCCGGTCATTACCTGTTTGCGTCGTGTCCTGGTCACCTGTTTTCGACGTAGCATCTGTGCATCCCGTCAGGGGCCTAGGGCCACGTTTGGTTGTGTCTGTGTTGACTCGGTGTCTAAATCAGGTGAAAGCCATGGCCACAATCTGGCCCGAGGAGCCTTGGGCTGGGCCATGTCCTTGTCATTCACACGCTCGTGTACACGTCCCTTAGAGACTGAAATAAAATCTAATTTTGGAAGCCTGCTTTGTGAAATGTGCGGGAATGGGACTCAAGTGACAGGGAGGGTGGGGAAGGGCATCAGGATGTTGGTGGCACCCACCCATCCCTTGTGGACCCCTGCCCTCCCTTCTAGTCCGCACCCTGGGGCTCCCCTCCCTGCCCAGCCCCCCACCCTGGCATGCCGCAGGGGAGGAGGTGGGAGCGAGCCCAGCAGCTTGAACAAAACTCAGTGGGGACCGGCGGCTCACATCTGCCCAGAAAGGCGACAGTGGGCATGGAGAGGCGTGTGGGCCGCCCCGGGGGCACGGCAGGAGGCCGGCGGGGTGGCGCTTCTCCACGGTGTTTGCCCCCCAGGAAGCATGGCCGCCTGCCCTGCGCTGGGTCTCGGGGCTCTTCTGTGCCTCTGCCCTGGGCCAGCTCTGAGGCACATTTTCAAAGGCTGGTAGGAGTGGGTGGCGGGCCCATGGTGGGCCAGGGGCTCCAGGGGCTACTGAGCTTCCCTCTGCCCGGGGTCTTCTCTCCACAGGTCCAGGCGGTCCTGCTGGGACCCCAGGGTCTGGCCGGGTGTGGGGGAGTGGAAGGGGCCCAGTGCGTGATGGCTGGGTGGCCTCGGAGCTGTCACCCACAGGTCTGCACCCTGCAGGCTTCTCACTCCCCGTGAGGACCCACCTGGGTACCTGCCCTAAACAGCCTGGGGGAGGGGCAGGCAAGGACCAGGCCCCCTCCAGGCTGGTGTTAGCGGGGGCCAGCTGGGCCGAGCGAGGGAGGCGGGGAAGCCAAGGCAGACCCTCCTAGGGCAGCAGGTGAAGGCCATGTTGGACCCACAGGGAGAGGTGGGTCCAGGGGCGGCGGGAGGAATCCAGGGTCTGACGGAGGGCTGGGGGCCGGCAAGTGCTAGGAGCCTGAAGGCCAGCCGCTTCCAGAAGGGAAGAGGCCTGAGGCAGGTGTGGCCCAAGGCGAGAGGACAGTGGCTGCGCATCTGCCAGGACCAAGGTTGTAAGTCACCTGCTGGACTGTCCACGGGCCCTTCTCGGGCTCTGGGTCTGGTCACCCGGAGAACTCCGACCCCTCCTGGCCCAAGTCTTCCCCAGGGAGGGGCTGCTCTCAGATCTGGGTGGAGAACCAGAGGGCCCCAGAGGTGTGTACGCCAGCCAGCCAGAGGAGCCAGTGCCCCGTCCAGGAGAGCAGCCTGCAGGTCGCGTATCGCTTTGGCAAAAACAGATGTTACCGTGGGCTGTTGGGAGGGAAGGGCCGGGCCAGGCCAGAGGCCATCCTCAGACACCTGCACCTGGAACAGAGATGCTCTCTGGGCGCTGGCTACAGTCAGGAAAGGAGAGGAGAAGTCTACTTCCAAGGGAACAAAGATGCCCAGGATACAAGTTAAGTATAAAATAACACCCATTAAATTGAAGCCATCAGCCTGAGGCCTGGGGAGTTACTGTGAATCTTCACCCTATTTCTGAGAATGTTAATGTATTCCAATGCAAGTTTGTATTACACTGACAAGCAGAAAAACAACAAGGTTTCATTTCTCAAACATATAAAGAGTGCTTAGGGGAGAGCGGACATCCCTCCCGCCTGGACCGTGGAGGGGCAGGCCCCTCCGACCCACCCAGGCCCAGCCAGCACGGGAGGCGCTGACGTCCTCGCCCCACCCCAGGTTCTGTGACAAGCGTGCAGACAGTGGTTGGACGGTGATTCAGAGTTGAGACGGGCGGGGAGAGGCTGCTGGAATTTGAGAGGTGCCGGCAGGAGTACAAAGAGGGCTTTGGAGACTGGGGAGGTAGGAAGGCCGTGCAGCCAGGGCCCCGGGGCCTTGTTGAGAACACAGGGCAGGCCTGAGCCTGGGTGACCACTGGCCGGGGCTGGAACACATCTTGGGCCTGACCTCCCAGCCCGGCCTGCACAGCGAGCTGACGGTGGATCTGCGGGACGTGGGCAACCACTCGCTGCGGGCCCGCTATGACAGCTTCCGCGTGGACCAGGGAGACCGGTTTTATTGGCTCTACCTCTCGGCCTGTACTCAGGGCCACAGGTGAGTGCCTGGGAGGGCTGGGGGCTTTCGTACCACCCCCCTGCCCACAAGCATCATGGTGTGCTGACATGCTTCCCGGGCTAGGGGCTGGGGAGAAGGTTGGGACCCCAGAGTCCCCAACTTCTCAGCCTACTTCTGCCAGCCTCCGCTCTCCGGGAAAGGATGTTCCTCCCGGACCACCTGCCGGGGGGCCCAGATGGCCAGGATCCAGGACGGGGGTGCAGCTGAAGGGCTGCAGTGCCACGGCCCACACCGTACAGGGTACACGTTCCAGGGCTCCGGCGGTGTCCACAACCAGGAGGGCTGTGGCTTCAGCACGCTGCACCACACGCCCCATGGCTGAACGCCCTGCGCCGATGGCCCACACCTCTGCAAGCTGCAGCCGCGAGCCCTCACGCGCCAGCTGGTGGTACAGCGATGGTGACCAGGCCAACCTCAACACACCGAGGCCGGAGCGCACCGGGGCCAACTCAGGCATGCGCTGGACGACCGTGGACCGGCCCTGCGCTCTAGCGGGCTGCGCACTCGCACTGCCACCCCCAGGGCCTAGGCCTGCCCTGCAAGGATGGCGCAGCCTGGCTGTCGGCTGAGTCTTCTTTGCAGGGAGGGGCCAGGAAGGGGCCAAGCTCAGCTCCCACGCATCAGGGCCACGTGGACCCTGCGCTCCAGCGGCACCTGCAGGTACCGGATGGGCCTAGGGAGGTCCACGAGGCCATGCAGCCCAAGAGTGAGGCAGAGGCAAGGCTGCCAGGGCTGGGAGGGCCACTGACCCTCCCACACTGACCTGCTGAACCACCGGAACCCACCAGATGTTCCCTCTGCTGTGAGCTCAGGCAGGGCAGGGAGTAGGGCACAGAGCCCGGCACTCACAGGCCCTCAAACACCCAGTCCCACCAGATTCCAGAGTAGGGGTAGGACAGTGGGGTGAGGCGGCCAGGAGATGGGGCAGGAGGGCCTGGGCCTGGGGAAGAGGGGAGTCTCAGGTCAGGTCTCCCAGGTAGCTAGGAAGGAGGCTGGGAACAGGGGACTCTGCCAGCAGGCCACGTGGGGAAGACCCCAGGTGGGTCCAGGTGGAAGGGAAGCCGTCAGGCTGCAGGAGGGGGCTCCAGGATGCCAAGCACGAAGCAGGCCCTCACCACGTTGTCCCCGTTGTCCGTGGGACCCCCCACCCCACACAGAAGGCAGTGTCATTGCTCACGTCAGGGAAGAGGACCCCGAGCTGGAGGTGGGTGAGGGCTTCGCCGAGGTCACAGAGCCGGCAGGGGCGGAGCTGGTTCACACAACGTCTGGGGCGCCATGCTGGGGCCCCAGGGGGAGGTTCCGAGGCGTCTCCCTGAAGTTGGTGTGGAATCGGGGCAGCGGGAACAGAACAGCCCCAGCCACGGGTGAGCTCGCGAGTTTGTCCGCGGTCTCGGGTGTGACTCTGGGTCCAGGTGGGCAGGGGCTTGGGAACCCCTTCAAGGACCACCCGTGCCACGCAGGCATCAGCGGGGTCCCCTGGGGGGCCCTCCAAAAGGCTCTTCTGAACGGAACCCCTGAGTCATTCTGCAACACTGACCCCAGCTCCTCACCTGGGGGCAGGCCCTTCAAGGCCAGGCTTGCCCTCCCCACCCTGTGCCCACCCTAGGCCTCCTGGGCATCTATGGGGGGTTTCTCTGGGCCAGGCTCTGTTCTGGGGGAACTGGTGCCCAGATCACCAAGGCTCCCACCCTTCCAGAGCGTGGGTGAGAAGAAAGACACACAGGAAACAGGAAAATAAGGGAATGAGCTAATTTCAGAGAGAAGTGCAAGGAAAAACACAGGAGGCAGGCAGGAGAGGTGGGCCTGGGATCCAGCCCGCGTGTGAGGAACCCTGCTTGGAGCAGGGAAAGAGCAGGAGCAAAGGCCCTGCACGAGGGAGTCGCCTGGCCCCAGGCTGGCTGGCAGGCTCTCAGCTTTGGCTTCGCCCTGGGGCTCTTCCTGGCCCAAAAATGTCCCCCAACTTTCGGACAGATCTGGACAAAGGTCCTCT